GTTGCGGCTGGAAGGGCATCCGCTGCGTAAAAACTTGCTGGATAAGTTGGCGGTTCATTCCGCTGTGGCGACCCCGGATTAATAAAGGGACTAAGCTGACAAGAAAATGAATAAATTTAATTTAATTTAATTTAATTTAATTTAATTTAATTTAATTTAATTTAAAATGGGGAAGCTGGGGTGAAAATATACAGGGGGGCTAATAATTCAGGAGGGCTAATAATCTTATGTTTTTTTTTTTCCTCACACAGATTTACTGGATTGCCCCCATGTGTGGTGGAGTGGCTGCTGCGCTCATTTACGACTTCTTGCTCTTCCCCAAAAGAGAAGCACTTCGCAAGCGTATGAATGTCCTGAAAGGCACCGCTGACCCAGACCCGTCCGCCACAGAAGCACTAATCGAACCCCGAAGCGCCAGATCCGGTTCTGGTCAGTGGCCCCGGCCCTGAAATGCCTCTTGTAAATATAACTCTTGGCTATAAGTTCTTGCTTTTGGTATGGCGATGCTTAATAGCAGCACTTTAAAAAAATGTGTTGCTAACTTAAATTTGAACCAATGGAAGCGTTTTTTGATTTTATTTAACCAATACAACCAATTTAACTTTAACCTGACTTAAAACATCAAGTAAATTAAGTTAAAGTAATGTAAAAACGTTGCTATGTCTTTGGATTTGATATGTAGATGCCTAATACCCTGCAGGCAGGACGTCAACATAACGTCATATTGACGTTGTACCCCAAAGAATCCCAATGTCGTGGAATGTTGGAGTTTGTTTGGAAATGAAAATTGGGTTGACATCAGAACTCAACGTCAGACTGACGTCAATGTTTAATGTCCAACCTAAAATCAATTCAAAATCAACATCAATCTGGCCACTTTCCAACACAACCTAAAATCAATCAAATATCAACGTAATTTGATGTCGTTATCGGATGTCAAAATAACATTGTGCTTAGACGCTGACTAGACATTGAAATTTGGTCACCTGACGTCATGACCTAAATCTAACCTCATATTAACGTCTTATGATGTTGTATGCCTGCTGGGTAGCTACGCTGTTGCTCACTTAAATTTTTCAAGTTCATTCAATTTAACTTATTAATTATTAACTTTCAATTTAACTATATCAATTAAGCTGGCTTATGCTCGAGCCTGATCTCATGAAGAAACGTGAGTGTTTTACGTTTTGCCAGTTTAGTGGCTAATTCGTACAAATTCGTAGTAGCTAATTCGTAGGTTCAGCTTGGTCGTACGAAAATGTACGATTTTAAAAAGGATGTGTGGCACTTTATGCTTATGGCTTATTATTATTAACGGTGATAGTAATAAAAACAAAAATGAGTAATAATTTTATTTGAAACTGCATACAATAAGAAAGCAGGTTATCTAAAAATGTATAAATATTTGACCATTTAACGACTTTTTTTTACATGTAATAAATAACGCCTTGATCAACAGAATCGATTTCTTAAAAATAAAACAAACATGAAAATGACCCCAAACTTTTGACTGGTAGTGTGTGTATTTTTATAGTTTTTTTAATTGGTAAGATATTCTCAACATTATACTAGAGCTTAATAGAAGAAACTTCTGCAAAAACAGTTAACAACTAAACCGAGCTGATGTCAACTTCTGTCACTTCTGTACCGTCCAGACTAACTGAAGCTGAAGCTGTCACTGCAGTCAGCAACTTTAAGACTAAAGAGAAGCAGCTTTTACTAACTTATAACGACAAGCAAAGCAACAAAACTGAACTCTGTATGTATAAGTATGATTAAGTGTGCCTCACCTATCTATCTCCATATTGACACTTTTCTGGCATGGTCAGTTTGCTCGTAGCTCACTTCGTACGGTGTTGTGTTTTTGCTGCAGAGAGCTCAGGTTTGAGTCTATTGGTTGGGTGTAGCGAAGGGTTTAGCTCAGTGTTTCGCTAGCTGATCTGTGCCACAACCTTCACCTTCTCGTGGACGTCTACATTAAGGATGTGTATCTGAAACGTACAATAAATGCACCCTAAGTAACAAATTTCAGATTTGCAAAAATGTAGACAGCGCCCTCTAGTGGTTTTGTCATCTTAAACGTGCAATGAACACATATGAAACATACCCGGAGCAATGTATTAAGCACATTAAACTTCCTCTTGTGTATTAGAAAAGACTGCTGTCTGATAAAGGGAGATATATCCAGCTGCAGAACCGCAGAACCACACACGTTTTAGGCACACACAATCTAGGACACACGATTAAGGTAAACCATATTTGGAAACTTACTAACTCTTTAGCATTATCGCCACCTATTGAATTTCACAAGTATGGTTTCCCACTTCAGTCATTTTTATTATTATTATATCGTAAGGATCATTTTAACATTTCTGCAGTTTCTGAACTCAAATTATGTAAATACAAGTAATTGGTTAAATACACTTTTGACTTTATGTGTCTTCATAATCAAAGAAAACATAATAGACCGTATAATTGATTAAGTGTAATAAACTAATTCAGGATCTCAATATTATCATACTTGGTTAAAATCACTTTATTGTAAAATATAAAAAGTAAAACAATAATGTGTCACATTAAAATGAATTAGCATACTATAGTTAATCATTTAA